GGTACTTTCTTGCTTCTCTGCTTCGGTGCTTTCTTGCTTTTCTGCTTCGGTACTTCTTGCTTCTCTGCTTCAGTGCTTTCTTGCTTCGATGCTTCGATGTTTCTTGCTTCTCTGCTTCGGTGCTTCTTGCATGCTTTGGTGCTTTGGTGCTTTTTTGCTTCTCTGCTTCGGTGCTTCTTGCTTCTCTGCTTCGGTGCTTTTTGCTTTTTTGTTTCGATGCTTCTTGCGTGCCTCAGTGCTTTTTTGTGTCAGTGCTTTGGTGCTTTTTGCTTCTCTGCTTTGGTGCTTTCTTGCTTTTCTGCTTCAGTGCTTTCTTGCTTCTCTACTTCGGTGCTTTCTTGCATACTTTGGTGCTTTCTTGCGTCTGTACTTTGGTGCTTTCTTGCTTCTCTGCTTCGGTACTTCTTGCGTGCTTTAGTGCTTTCTTGCATCTGTACTTCAGTGCTTTTTACTTCTCTGCTTTGGCGTTTTCTTGCTTCTCTGCTTCAGTGCTTTTTTGCTTCTCTGCTTCAGTGTATTCTTGTGTACTTTGGTGCTTTCTTGCATCTGTGCTTTGATGCTTTCTTGTATTTGTGCTTTGGTACTTTCTTGCTTCTCTGCTTTGGTGCTTCTTGCTTCTCTGTTTCGGTGTTTCTTGCATCTTAACGTTGGCGATTTTGCAGTTTTGATTAGGTTTTTTTTTTTTTTTAAATAAAGTGCGAAGTTGATACCAGATATATAGAGGTTATGATATTATTATACAGTAATACCATTTAACAAAAATAAATTAAATTGATGTATCGTTGATTTTTTTTTTTAAAAAATAAAAAAATTTAGAATTCTCTAATGATAGATTCACTTTTTTTTTTTGTTATTCGTTTTGTTTTGTGATTTTTTCAGTCTCGTGGGTCACATGTTCACCAATTTGCTCTTCGTAAATCAGTGGTCACATGACTTGTGTAATCGATTTTGATTGGTCAATTGTGGGGTCGCTATGGTGATAGATCACTATAAAATAATGCTCTAAAAATAAAATAAAGATAAAAGTAAAATAAAGAAGATAAAAATAACAATATATAACTATAAATAAAAAAACAAAAGAAAGAAAATAATAAAGAAAAGTAAAAAAAATGCAAAATGAAACCAATTAAATCAAATTATTTTTTTAATATTTTACTAATTATCTAGGATGATATTAAATCAATAAGCTATTAATTATAAAAATTAATAATATATTAATTTAATATTATTCTAGATAATTAGTATATAATATTAAGCTGATAGACTATTGACTTAAATCAAATTTTTTTTTACAACTAATATATATTAGCCTGCTATTATTTAGATTGATATTAAACTAAT